CAACTGTTAATATTTTTTTCTTTTTCTTTTTTTTTTTTTTTTGAGGCTAAGTGAAACATTTATTATAACTGAACAGATCCAAGTTATCATAGCAACAACAACTATTTTTTACATCAGAACGGAATAAACTCTACCCACTTAGTCACGACTCTCTCCCTCTTCACCTCACCCGTCGAAGCACAGAGCTGTGGTGAGGAAGGGAAATTCAAATAAATAACAGTGATTCATTCTCTGGTGTCGATGCAGCTTTCAGAACAGACCGGTCTGAAAGTGTTTGCTCTCATCTTTCCGTGGATGTGATGCTCTTTCAGTCTGACGGTTTAAGAGGATAAAGCCAACCCTGAGCTTATGAAAGCACAGAGGTAGAGAACACAGGCAGACTCCACTGTATCAGCCACCTCTCCCTGATTCCAAAGGCAAAGCAAAGACAGTGCAGACCAGATATGCCACAAACCAATTTTAAGCCTCTATCATCCTTCAACAGGACACATTTCCTTTTTGCATTATCTTTTTTTACACCATTAAAAGGGGAGCAGGAAACTCTCAGGGCATTGTTCCCCCTTATTTGGCTCAGTTTGATCCATTTTGCTTTCTTTCTTCTCCCATCCTTGGCCTACATCTCTCTGGCTGCTCATCTCAATCAGACATTCCATTTAGCTCTTTAACTGAAGGCAGAGATGAGAGCGGCGGCGGCAGCAACAGGCGCAGTAATTGCCCTGAACTTTTTTCTTTTAACTTCTTTCGATAAAGACAGAGGAGCCGCAGCCCCCCAGGCTGCTGCACTTAACAGCCGCTGTGACCACTTCGTATATCCCCTTAATTCTGCCACGTTACAGTACCATCTGCAGACATTTTCTGCTGAACGATATGCTTTGGATTTCGTTATCGATGGACCAAAAAAAAAAAAAAACTGGAGAAAGATGCTGACTAAACACAAGAGTTGGAACATTTTAAAACTTTTATTAAGCTTAACTCTTGAAAACTCTCTAAACTCTCAGTAGTTTTGTTCAAAGAGGCTCAGACTTTTAATAACACGATAAGTTTTGTCGTCAGCCAGAACAAATAGTTTGTAATTTTTTTCTTTTCTTCCTCTTTTTTTTGTGTGTGTGTGTGTGTGTGTGTACGTTGAACATAGTTTTCCTGTCTGACTGCAGCAGGAGTTCCTTCCCTTGGTCTAGAATTTCAAAAACTCCAGCCAGAGGTGGAGAACTTTTCAAAGGGCCTTGAAACATTTTCACTCATGCAGTTCTTGCAGCTTTTTCACTGTGGAGCTTCACTTTGAAGACCACAGATCCTGGCTGTATCAAAAGAAGATCTACTGCAACCCAGACTGCAGGCTGACCAAATGTCACTGCTCTGAGCTCGGGGGCTTTTGACCATGTCTCCACTCTCTCTTTTACCCCTGGAGGTCATTAACATTACATGACTTGTAGACCTGCAGGACAGTTGGATTGGGACTTTTGCGAGTTCATCAGACCTGTCTTTGTGCAAAATGAACTTTTCAGTCATGTATTTTTAATGTGCTGTCATGTTTGATGATACAGGTATATGAATATGTATGTACATATACCTAAATATATATATTTCTATGTATATTTATATATATCTATAGAGATAAAGAGAGAGAAAATATATTATATATTTTAAATTATATTTTTTTAGCTTACCTGTTTGGTGACAATTATTTTGTAATCACAGCACAGACCATGCCTCCCCATCACGCTGCTGCCCCCAGTGGAAATGACTGTGTCTGTATCAGACTATTGATTACCTGCTAATTAACCTTTGCTAGCAGGCTGCATGACCATATGTTCAAGTCACCTATTTAATATATTTGAACATACATGTAGTTGGAGATATTTCTGTAGATTTCCTGGGCCTCCTGGGTTTATTTTAACAAAAACGTGAGTGATTGGATCAGTGAGCGGTACCAGCTGTAGGCGCTCATGACAGTCGGGTTCTGTCTTCCAGGTCTATTCTCTCATTACTGGATCAACAACCAAACAACATCCTGAAATGACCTCCCATCGTGACCTTCAGCTGCTTCCAACTACTCCATCAATTTGTATTCATTCGCTGTTGTGCCTCAGCCTGACCAGCAATTATTTCACAGTAGATCAAAATAGCAGGTTGTGCGCACAGGCAGAGGCGGGGGGGGGGGGGGGGGTAAAGTATAGACGGAGAGAGGATGAAAGACACAACACAAGAGCGGGGAGAAGGTGGAAGGTGAACTGGGAGGGAATGAATATTGAATACATAATGTCATTTCCTTCATCAGTGCAGAGGAGAATTCACGAGCGGCTCAGCTTCTGTACAGGATAACTCTCTTCATCAGCGCCGCCCCTGCTACCAACCTGCTCACCTCGCCAAATGAACCCTTCACACTGCTGTGAATAATTACAATGGCTTTATCCTCGCACATTTCATCCAAACTGTTCACATTTAATTTCAGTTCTTTTTTTCTTTTTTAAGTCACAGTTTTCACTTCATCAGAAAAATAACACCAGGATTATTGACTGTGCAATTATAGCAATTAGAATCAAAAGTATTTATCCTAGAAATTGCCTATGACACTGTTGAAACCTGGTAGAGTTTTTTCTCTTTTTTTCAAATTGTTTCTCTAGATTATAAGATATCTTAAGACTTAAGACTTCATGCTTACAGTTGTCAAGGGGCACAGTTGTGTTACATTTATTTTTCTCACTTTGTTACTTGTTTCAAAAAAGATCTTGAAAGTTTAGAAAGCGAAAAACTAGGTGGTGTATGAAAATTTTATATTTGCTTTTAATAAAATCATTTAAATATAATCCATGGAATCGGTGTGAGGAAGAGAGAAAATGGAATTTAACTTTTACTTCACTGGTTGCCATGTCTGCTCATAATAAGCCTCTTTGGGCTTGTTTTTATGCAAATTGGATTGAAAATATTGATATACCCTGGTTGTGTTTTTCAGGCTGGTTTTCAACGCACATTTGATCGTTCAGTGTTATTCCTGTTTGTCACGTCTGTGTCCACTGAAAGAAAACACCCAGTTTATCTGGTTGCAGTATCCATGACCACAGTTGGATGGCGCCACGCTGCCTCTGACCTGCTCTTTCTCATTTCCTTTCTTGGTCGAGCTGATTAGTCTCCTTGGTCGTCCTAGGATAAAATATTACATTTACCTCGCTCTCCCTCCCACACGGCACAGAACTTAATCAATTTACAGGACCAGTGGGTGGAAACATGAATGCCAATAGTAGCAGGACACAACCTTTATGTGTATCCTGGACCAGTTTTTTGCGGACCAGTGGCAGCAGTGTGTATGACAGAGCAGGTCATAAGAAAGGTCATTTTAAAATTAATAACAAACACAACAAGTACATCATATATCATTGAAATACTGCACATGCATATAATATTATTGGACTGTAATTTATAAAGGAGTTTACGGACTTTTAAAAATGAAATACCTGACAAAAAATCTGGTCTAGTAAGAAATTATTCATGGCCCAGCACTGGTCCCTGACCCAATGTTGAGAACCCGTGATCTGTGGGAGCAGTTAACAACCGATTGCACCACACATTTGTGTATAGAAAGTGAACCTAAAGTAAACAACATTGTCAGGTAGGTGTGAAACAGTGTATGTGTGTGTGTGAGTGACAGCCTTCATGATGTTGTATGTGTGTAAAGGTATTTTGCAATTGTTTGCTGTACAAAACAAGTGTTTATATTTAGTTGCGTTGGCAGAGCTGCGGTAACAGTGTGTTCACACACTCGCTGCAGAGAAGCAGTTTGAGGCACGGGGCGTGTTACACCGCAGGTTCTGCAGGAGTATTTCTGTCCTGGCAGGTGATAATTGCAATTTTCACTCAGCAGGTTACTGCAGGGAGATATATGAAGGGGGAAATGTCAGATTTGTACAACAATCAAAGTCAAATTTAGAAAAGAAAATTCAAACTGAGGCTCAAGGGTAAAAGAAAGTAACAGTCGTCAGTTTAACTTGGTACTTGTTTCTTTCATTTTAGAAAATAAACTATATATATATATATATATATATATATATATTATGCATTGCTGTTAAATGCTGCTCTAACAGTAATTATTCTGAACCACTGAAAATATTTTCAATTTGTATTTTAACATTACGTTCAATAAAGGCCCTGCCCCAACGTAATTAAGTTTAAAAAATAATAATAATTCAAAATTAAAATCGCAGATGAAGGAACTGATTACAGATGTGCAGCAGTCGGCCATGTTTAGTGATCCTGTGTTTCTGTTGTGCAGACGGTAATTAAGAGAGATAAACTAATTAGTGTTAAGTCGGGGTATTATTATCCGTAGGAAGTGTCATTTGATTGCCTATTAAAACGTCAGAAATCATTAAATTAAAGTCAGTCAGAAATGAGGATGTTCATGGACAATAAAGTAATAATAAAAAAAACAGACACGGGCCAAGGACACTGACTGGGTCAGGAATGACCCAGTTTACAAGGAGCTCTGTAGTAGGTGAAGGACAGAGAGTGAGGGTACAGTGTCAAATGAGCTTGTGTGTCAGGAGGACAAGATGATGATGAAGTATAATCCACTACAGTAACAGTGAAGACCAAATGAAGGCAGTTAAGGTACAGAACCACGTGTAAAATTACTTTTAGTCAATTTTAAATTTACTCAGTGTCATCGGCATTAAGATTAAGAATTTTAAATTTACTCAGTGTCATCGGCTTTAAGATAGAAGTATTTAGCCTGAATTCTAATCTATTATATTTCTATGACTGGGTTCCTGTGTGTTGGCTGTTAATCCTGGGTCAAAGGGAACTAAAAATCAAGTCTTTTTGTTTCCCACCCTCATGCTGTGGGTGGGAGACGAGAGGAACATCCTTGTGCCCTTTGCCCAGGAGCAATGACTTCCTGGGCAGACGCTCATTTGTCGACACCAAAGTTCTGCAGCAACTTTAAAAAAAAAAAGTAGGTCAAAATAGTCTTTGTCCTCTCCAAAAAAAAAAACCAAAACTCTGGTGCTCTCATCATTTTAGTTTAAATGTTGTTATTGTTCAGTTACTACCATTGTAGTGACTGATTTTCACTGTTATTTCCAGTCTTACGGTTTAAATTAATTTTTAGATTGTAACCCTAACATTTGTAAAAAAAAAAAAAAAAATACTGGCACTGACAGCTTTTCTTTCACTGTTTCTTAAGCTGTACCGTTTTGTTAAATTGTTAGCTCCCACACTTTCGTTATACTGTACAATAACAATACATGTTGTGACGTCATTTGTTTGCGACGGAAACGCCAGGTGCCTCAAAGTTATGGTTCCCCGGGGACATGTAAGTCTGAATTTATTTCACACTTTAAACCAGCGGATATTAAATATTACGTTTCTAAACTTGAAAGATTAAATATTAACTTGTCTCCTATGTGTTTTTTCTATGAATACTGCAGCCGACATGTACGACTTTCCGTCATCCTACACCGGAGAAACCCGAAAATCATACAAGGGCTTGGAGGTATACAAATGGACACAAACTAGAGCCGGCTTCGTCGACTGTATCCGTGAAATACTTCGTTGTTGTCACCAGGAGGGTAAGTGTCACTTTATCCTGATAAACTTAAACATTAGCGACTAGTGCAGTGTGACAAATCACTGCGTTTTCTGCTGTGTTGACTGGTCTCTGTGTTAGTCTTTGAAAACAAACAAACCTGACTGCTACAAATATATACATGTTTTCATTCATAGTCATGCATATACAGTTATTTATTTGAAGAATCAGAACTGTTAATTTATGGTTTTGGTATGAGTTCATGTACAGTGACAGTTTTCAGGACTCAAAGTCAGCAGAGCTTTTCATTCCCACATTATCACCCTTTAATCACTTGAATTGCTAATAGCTGGCAAATACTTGTCTTCCTGTGTTAAAGTAGGAGCCCTTTCCAGGACAGGCCTCCAAGTATTTGTTTGTTTTTCCATATTTTCCAGATCTTTTCATGGCCTTTTCCATCTGCATGAAAGTCTGCAGTCATTATTCAGGGAACAGAGCAGTGAGAACAAACGATGAGACCATGATAATCCCAAACTGTCTTTGAATTCACTCAGAGCTTTCCCTGTACAGTCCTTCCCATCTGGCTGCTCTGGTCCGGCGTTCCAACTCATCTTCCTCCCTTACACACATTTGTGGTGAATCACAGATGGACAGGAAGATGGGGAGGTGGGGAAGAGACTGTGCTGTGGTCACAGATAATGAGTTTTAAGTAGTCTGAGGACAGATTAGTCCAACTGCATTTAAAGAAATGTCTGTTCCTTGAAGTAAGTATTCAATGAGATCTCTGACAGTAGTTAGAGAAGATGTTGTCTGATTAGGAGGTCGTTGCAGTCGCCTGTATCTTTTTGTCTACACTGAAGCTAACAGTGTCAGACTTCACCTCCCTGGAGTCGGAGGGCAGAGCCACTCTGTCACAAACAAAAGGCCACGTTCACTTAGAAAGTTCAATTGTGTCTCTGCTTATTTGGTGCAGACTTTGATGGAGGCAAATCTCAAGCCGGCAGCAGAATGACTGACTGTTGCCCGTGGGTGTGTTTTTGTGTCAGAAACTATAGAACTTGTGCATCTAGTAGAAGTTCATTCTTCCAATTATTAATGTGGGTTTCTGATGGATGCAGTGTTATGTCACCAGTCATTGTATAATCGTGAATTACATAACAACATTCCTCAGGCCCCTCCTTATGGCACATTGAAAGAGACAATATTATGCATCAATAAAAAGAGATGTGAAGGTAATGAGTTTAAAGGTAAAAAAGTATGTTGCGATTAAATTTGATTATTTGAAATGTTTATATTGACAATTAGGATTACATAGAACCTACATATTACCTATATGGAGTATTTCTGTCCTGCATCTACTGCAACATAATTTAGAATTTATTTTCAGATTGTATTTTTGACTTAAAACATTAACATGATGAATGTAACATTTGTGTGTGTGTGTGTTAATATCTGCTGGTAAAAAAAAACCCAGATAGATACAATCTTATAATTTCCCAAGAACTGCAGCCATAACCATTCGCTGCCTTATCAGTGCAGAGTCAGAGACTGTTAAGTTGAAAATTGAAACATAATTTGAATATTATCAAAATTATCAATCTGTCTTCATCTGCGTTGATAATATCAGTGCATCTCCTGTTTTACAAAGTGATGCGGATATGCAGTCACAAATGATTTTATTGGATTAATTTTAATTACTCAAAAATTTTATCTCATTTATCTATGAGTAGAATGAAAACTTTCCGAGTCTCCGTATTTTAAAGAAACCAGATAAAACAGCATCAACTGAGAGCATCTTTAAAACAGTGAGATTCTCATTATTCATCCAAACTTCTGGTTTGGATGATATGTCCAGGTTGTACCCAGCCCTAACACGTTCATTATTAGTTCCAGTTTCCCATAGGGTAGCTAGAGCACATGCGACATTCTACAGAAGATCCTTTATGGTCCTGGAGTTTTGAGGCTGTCAGGTTGAGACAAGACATGAAAGGTAAAAAGTAAAATATACCGTGAACTGTTATTTACTGAACTCCAGACACCCCAGAACATGTTTGCAATTCAACATGTGAGACTTTAATGGACGGAGGCATAGGTTTCCTTTTGTAACCTGCAGCAGTGTTGATGGAGAGGTTTTCAGGATAATAAAACTGGCTTTCACCAACCTGACCCAAGTGTGATGGAGGCCATGAAGTCGTCCCACTTCAAACAGCAGCCCACTGTGTAATCACACTCAACACACCCTTGTTACGGCAAAGGTTGTCTAACAAAAAGAAATCTCCTGCTCGCTCAGATCAAATTTGCGGTGGGGAAAAAATCTCATGAGTGTCATGACACTCGCGTTCCTGCTGTGATTGGTTCTTGAAGCAGCTCTTTCCTTTAGCTCAAGGAGACAACAGTATAATGAGGTGCAAAAGTATCACCGGCGGGATCACAAGTGAACCCATTCGCAGGCTGTGCATCGGCATGCACAAGCAGAGATTGTCAAAAACCTATCAGAAACAGCCATTGCTTCACGAGATTGGGGGTTCATTAAAAAGGAATTGGCCTTTTCACATTATTATTTTTTCAGCATCTTATATCGTTTGAGAAAGCAGCATGGTTTCACCTGAATCGTCCAACCAAGACATTTTGTTCATCATTCCATCAATTAAAGGTCATGTGAAATTACAGGTACATCAGCTGTAATGATTGAATGGTAGAATTATATAAATATATTAAATCCAAAACTAAAGTGGACCATTATGTTTAGTGTTACTTAATATGTCTGCAACATTATAATGGTTGAGATAGGCAAAACAAAATATCACATGATCGGTTAAGTGCATAAAACTACAGTGAAACTCAACAGAAAAATAGACTCAAAATTGATTAAAGTGATTAAGTGTGAGAATTTTGACTCATTTAGGTGCTTAGTGTGGAGGATATGATGTAAACACAATAATTATGCTTGGGGAAAGTTGTGAAATCAGTCACAGCAGAATAAACACTCGCGATAAGCAAAACTGCATTTTCCATAAACTGCCATAAAAAAATCTGTTCCAGCCGACGGCAAAGTAGAACTCGATGAGGCAGCGACTGATGTTTTTCTTTTTCTCCCTAAAGGAACACAAAACTTAGTAAATGGTAAAAAAAAAAATAAAAAATTCATAAAAGTGTTTTATACCTTACATTTTAGTTCACAGCAAAGGAGTGATAAACTCTGGAGGCACTCAGCCAAAGTCCAAAAAGAACAAAAAATGAAATCAAAAACATTTGTCTGATTATAAGAAATAAAAGTATAAAATCATTCCACTTCGTTTGACAAGCAATCTTCCAAACCTCTTCATGAACACCATCAGGTTTAGACGAGTTGACTGAGAGCCATTTGCGCCCACTTTTAGTATTTTCTTCAACAGACTGTTAACAGCGATCTCCTCATATTTTCAAACAATATCTCCTAAATCTTTGATTGAACCTCATGCTGACAATATTCATTAAATTGTGCTGTTGTTGCCAGGCTCTGACAGGCCTCCATTTCTCCAGCTCCACAGAAGCTCTTCTTATGAAACAGTAACAAGTCTCTCCTTTCACCAGATCTTATGCTTATTAAAACTGAGAGACTCAGAATATCAGACTCTTTTGTGGGGAAATTTTAGGTGTCTTTTTTTAGCAGTGGCTTTTTGCAAGACATTTACTTCTTCCTGTACCTGTAAAAAATATATTTTGTACTTTTTTTGTGTATTTTAGTGTAGGATGTGTAATTGTTTACAATAGGTCAGTGTAAATTTCTGTTAATTTTTTTCCAATTACCTGTTTTTACCATTGTCATTTGAAGTGCAAAGTTTATCAGCTCAGCAGGCTGTAAAACAGACGGTCAGAGCAGGAAGGTGCGCTCCTTATCTTTGACAAAGGTTATCTCTTTCTAGACAAATATGCAGCAGGGACAAAACAGACAGGGGTTTACTGCAGCTCTAATTAGGATATGCCTGGATATTATGTTCCAGGCATTTGATGTGAAAGGTTATAATAATTCTTGTCCAGTCAGAGCAGGTCTGGAAGTTTAAAAAAAAGTGTGAATAGATGCCCATAAGGCCAAACACAGCCACGACTAGACAAAGTAACCGCTCCTCAATTAATTTCTGAAATTCCACTGTCCGTTCACTTATGTTTGTACGTTATTTTCACACACTGCGGGGAAAAGGAATTATATTGTTGAGGCCAACGAGGTCTCCGAGGTTTTGAAAGTAACTCTCGCCACGTTTTAAAAGCCACAGTCAAGAAGAACGGTATTGACTAAAATCCAACAACAACAATAGAAAAAAGTGTTTTATACTCCTGCATGTTTGGATTAGTCCCAAATAAAAAATTTTAAAAAAAAAACAGGCGTGAAACACATACATCTCTCGAAGCTGTCGATCGTTTTTTAGCATTGTAATAATTCTCCAGCCAGTAATTACACAGTGATGAGGAGTCCAAGCTGAATACTTTTATATCCCTTTAGTTCAGATGAGCTTAAAATATGTCTTCAGTAGTTGCCTGGTAACAGAGCTGTAACTGGGCATGCTGCAAAAAAACATACATATATAGAGAAAGAGAGAGTGTGGCAGAGAGCCATGCAACTTGAGCACAAGAAGTTCTGCTCTACCTGTTTAAATTGACTTTATATTTTTTATAATGTCAAATCGACTTGTCTGCTACACATTCAGGGCTTTGCACCTTGGCAGCACTTATAGCTCTATTGAAATAATAGGTTTGTGTCAGTGTGCCAAATCATCCGTCCAGAAAGAGCAAAGGACATTTTATCATCATCCTTTAAACATTGCATAATGTCAAAGCCAGGTTTACGGTGAAAGACTTAGGTATAAACATGTTCACTGCATGATTATTGCCAGATAATATAATGATGATATAGTTGTATAAATAAATAGGCATGCACCGGTACCAATGATAGTACAAATGCATGTGAACTTACTTTGTTTGTGCACGTTGTTTGTTAAAAAAAAACACCTGTAAAGGCGCTCAAGTGCTGAATATGCTAATGTCTTAGCACTGAATATGCTAATGTGTCCTCTTTTTCCATTCGCAACAGAGTGGATAGATGAGGTTGACTGTCTCTTTTTGTTTGTAGGTATTTGACAACATTTTATGTCTTTTTTTTTTGTTGAATTCAAACATGTAAATAGTGCGGCACAGTTTAAGCAAAACTCACAGGAGAGCTGGAGAGAGTGTTGGTGTCTTTTTTATTTAAAATTTGTATACACAAATAATACACATGGTAACATATTTTAAGGATACTTTTTTTTCAGTAGTAGAAAACATATTCAAGCAGCCTGAAAAGTCTCAAAAAATGAATAAAAATACACTAATTTGTCTTAAAATACTTAGCTTTGTTTATTTTTGTGATTAAAATTTAGAAAAAATACACTTTTCTGCTACACCAACCTTTGATCACAGTAAAATTCTATACTAATAAGTTTTTGAAGAAATCTTCAAAAATAAAATTTTTCGCAAAAATGAAAAAAAAAATCTAACCCATAAATATTTTTTCTAGATACCACGTCCAGGTCAAGAATGGGACGTAGAGGTGGGTCAAACCTAAAGCTAAAGCTTTACCTCACCCTCACCCACTACAGTGTGAATATATCACCTCCCCACGTCTCCAGCTGCCCTGGCAGGGCATTACTGTAATTAGTTTGTCCGACAGCACAGATTTTTGCACACCATCTATAAAGCCATGTTGGCAGTTTCCTGTTTCTTGGCTTTACTTTGTGAACTTTGTCAGTGTCATCGGTTTTTAAGCAGCACAAGCATCTGTTTAATTTAAGTGTTAATTATCCTCACACAGCCCCCTGTCCAGTTACTGACCACGGTGGATCAGATGGGGGAAAAAAAGGGGTGGGGGCAGTGACTTCATTCAGAAATAAGTTTCAAATTCTCAACAGTCGATGAATGGAGACCCCCCCCCTCAAAAGGTCAAAGAGCCGTGAACGGTGTCGTCGAGTTTCACAAACAAATTCTAGTAAATGCATGTTATTACAAACAGACACCATGCGTCGTCTCCTCGAAAAATAAAAATAAAATAAGATAATTCACCCCACAGAGCAGATGAGTTTATGGTCTGGGAGCGTGGGTTGACGGATATTACATTTCTCTGAAACGTTCCGGTGATTTATAACAGATTCTGACGATGCACTCCAGACCCGCTTTGTCTTTAACTGTCAGCCTCTAGACGCAGAAGGAGAAAAAGAGAAAAGTCTGTCAATAAAGCATTGATAAAATGACACAGGAAAGTCGTCCTGACTGATGAAGAGCTCGGTGAGTAAGGAGGATAAATGCACCGCTGCCCCTCCCCTTTACCCACCTCCCAACCCCCGGTGCTTCAGAGTAATAGTAAGAGGCAGTCACAGGTAAAAGGTTAAAATTCTAAGCAAAAGCACACAGTGTTTGGTGGCCAGTGGGCCTGCCTTACAGCCGGGAGGTCACTGCTTCGAGTTTGGAGTATTAAGAAGATTAATAAATGTACTTTAAATACTTCTCTAGTTTTGGTTTACCTTTAAAATGTACGGTAAAATTCACGAGACGTCTGTGTGTTTTCTCTTTAACTGTAATACTATTCAACCCTTTTTGGTGAACGCTCACAGACCAGCGAGTCTCGTCCACATGAACTTTTACCTCAAACAGTGATCACAGTAAAAAATGAAATGTAAACCATCAATAATCCACACACTGGGTGACTAATTATGCAGCTACACACGGTGGGGTCCAAAGTAGAGTTTCAAAATTCAATCTTCACTCACAGAGATTTAGGAAGTGGCTTTTTCCCCCCCAAACAGTCAGATCATAGTATTATTGCCTCTACTGGTCAGTTTGTGACATTGCAAAAATGTTGTTTTGTTTTTTTTTAAACCTGTATAGTGGGTCATGTTTCAATCAAATTGTAGCACTGTACTCTACACTGTATATATTAAAATAGATATACAAATATATATTTATATATATGTACATATATATATATATTTTCAGCAGGTATATTTTCACTTTCTACTCTACACATGAAGTATATTGATGTGGATGGAGAGGGCTGTTTACACAGTTTCAAAGCCTCCGTCGATCCTGTGGCTGTGTGTGAGGTGACGTGTTTCTACCTGTGCGTCCGTCTCCGTCTATTCTGAGAACTCTATTCTGCTGTTTCTATTTTCTCCAATCACATTTCTTTGTTGGGTCTCAGAACATTCCTGAAACAGTCTGCGTCTCTCTCCCTCTCTCTCTCCCTCTCTCTCTCCCTCTCTCAGATACACCGTTCCCGCACTGATGTCCCGAGTTTCAGCTTAAAGTCCCGTCCCTGTGCAGCCGTGCCGAGACATATTTTATTTTTGCACAGCAACGGTGCAGCTGAGTGCAGACGAACACATCTGAGCGGGAGCAGAGCTAATTTGCACACAAGTGGAGGCTGTTTGAGAGCAGGGGTGTGGCAGGGTGTCGAGGAACAGTGCTGAGCAGAAAAACAAAAATTGAATGAATAAATAAAACTGTGAAAATGAAAAAAGACCACAGTCTGGAATAGAAAACAGGAGAGAAAAAAACACCTCCGTTGTGTTCATCCTCGGTGTTCCTACACCGTGTTCCAGATGGGAGTTTTCCCAAAAAGAAAAGCATTTTGTAAATAATATATAAACAAGTGAAACTTCAGTTAAGCCGGATTTCTTGGCTCCGCTGCCTCCCGACTTCAGACTGGTTCCTGACGACGTCCACCTTCTCCTTCTATCCATCTCCAAAACTACGGCTAAAGGGACAAAAAAACACTGTTTTATAGTATATAGGAGTATTTAAATATGTATGTTCTTTTTTCAAGCCAAGATGAAACATTAGAGAAACACAGTGTGGAGCTGACCTCACTGTACCGTCCCTGGAATGTTCAGAGGGAACGACTGTAGTTGCTGCTGTTAGCTGTTCAGCTAAGTCAAGCCATGATGGACGTCTCCTCTGCAGGACAGTGAAGACCTCAGCTGTGGTGGGAGAACCAACAGGAATCCTGACACCAAAAGAAAAAAGCGGTGAATTACCGAGACGGTGAATCTTCTTTGTCTTTCTCTCCACATCTGATCATAACACACTCCAGTCCCCACATGTTTTAAGAACCTGTGGATGAACCTCCATAACCTCCTCTGTTTCCTCTAAAATGTAACCTAAAAAAAATCTAATGGCTAAAAAAGGATCCACAGGTGGCTAATGACAGGTAAAACTGGACCAATGAGGGTTATATCTATATCTATATATAGATATACATATACATATATACAGTATATATATCCAGACATCCAGTGCTCTACACCCACCCACCCACTGAACACCTGACACCCACTCATTTCATTACAGGCCATGAGCCAAACTGAACTGAACAGCCTCTGATTCTCCACCTCCTCTGCCCGCTCTCCTCCAGCATTACCATGTCATATTTAAAGTGTAATTATCTCCAGGAACGCGGGGGTCTCCCTCCTCCTGCTGCTGCTGCTGCTGCGGCTGCTGCTGCTGCTGCTGCTGCTGCTGCTGTGAACCACTGACAACTTTCATAGAATAACCAGTGACCTTGGGACATCAGACAAAGAGGAGGTGGCTCTTATGTGCACAGAGGGAATTATGATAGGATTCACATTTCAGTCCCTCCTCGTCCCGCGACCCCTCATCCTCCCCCCGACCCCTCCTCCCACACACACAGTAAATACAGATATAAAAGCAGAGCTAGAAAACCAGCAGTGTCTTTTTTCTTCTTTCTTTTTTCTTCTTTGTCACGATTCATCAGCAGCCTGTGTGGGCCGCATCAGTTACTGACCGTCTCCTCTGCCGTTGTTTTCTATTTCTGACTGCCATCTTTCCTCCTCTTATTTCACCTCCTCCGTTGCACCATGTTTCGTTTTTTTAATCAGTCTGTATTTGTTTTAGGTCACTGATGTCTGGGCTTTTCTTCATTTCCCTCCCCTGTCACCGTGGGCCCCTGACTGCAGCGCCTCATCATGGACATCTACAGGATAAGGTACAAGTATTGTTTTGCGTTTACGTCGATTCATTGATAAAAATTGATCCAATTTAGATGTTTTGAATATTTTTTCTTGACATTGTTCCATGTTAATATTCCCTTCATTTGAGTCAGTCCCAAATTCAAACACACACATCTACCTGCTGTTATTGGTCTTTCTGTTCCAGAAATCTACAGACATATTAAGGAGTGTTGAAACATATTTATATATAGAAATTAATCAGATCATTTATGATTAATCCCAGTTACATTATGAATTGTGAATAATTATGATTATTCTGATTAAAATTCCTAATTGTTTGTCAGCCATAAACCTTACATCTATAATTAAAAGTCATGTTTGAACATCTGACTTTTCTGTATATTTCTTTGTTTACGTAAAATTTGCATTTTTTTTTTATGCCCATCTGTTGAAACGAACAACAATTCACTCACATTCACACCGACTGTGTGCTGCCAGAATAAAACCCAGTAATCCCAGGGAGGACATGCAAACAACGACCACCCACTGCCCTGTTGTTTTTGACACATTAAACTAATTTCATTGGGAACAGGACTATGTGAACAGACAGGACAAACAACGACTCTTCAGCTGCTTTTTATGGGCAGGTACATGAAGAAATCAGAAATAAACTTAAGAACTTAAGAAGAAAACGTAAGTTAAATTTCGTGTTTTGTTCCTTGGAGGCAGTTAGAACCTGTTTTGCTGCAGCTTCTGTTTTTTGGGTTGTTTTTTTTTTTAATTCGAGCCACTAATGTCAAGACATCTGTCTCCAGAAAATTAAGGCAGTGTTGTGCTGCTGTTGCCGTCGATGTGTCGATGCCAAAGCCCAACTCCCTAATTCCCCACTGCTGACGTTTTGGCAGCCTGGAGTTGTTGGAGCGAGGCCGTTAGCTTCAGTCCCAAATTTCCACAGAAATGGAGGTGGAGATACGAAAACATATGCTGCTCTTTTACAGATCATTTACGGCATCATTTGACTGGCAGGTGGCCACATACATACACGCTAATTTATCATAAATATGAAAATAATTGTAGGCGACAGCACAGGAATAAATAAGAATAATAAGAAACGGACTGAATCTGCATTAAAACGACTACAGCTGTTTGGATACAGGAGTCTGAATTAACACTTTTTCATGATCCATCCATCCATCCATCCATTTTCATCCGCTTATCCGTTACCGGGTCACGGGGGCAGCAGTCTCCACCCAAATCACATTGCACCGTACCAAACCTTCCTGCGGGTGGTGAGTCCACTGGAAGGTACCAACCGCCCTAACCGGGATTTGAACTTGTCCAGGAGGTGAACCCTGGGGTTCCACACCAATGACAGAGACATTGACACTGGGCCAAAGCACCCCACTTTTTCATGATATTCAACACAATAGTATTTTTATTATTATTATTTTTGGTGTTGTGTGGCGCTGATGCAGAGCGTGAAGCCCGTCTGGGTCTGAGACTCAGTGGTTACTGTTGGAATCATCCTGACACTTTCAACACCTTCCTTAGTGCTACATCACTGCTTTCTAACTCCATACAGTATCTATGTGTATTTTTAACCCACCCTCGCCCCTCTTTCCCCCGCCCCCCGGCCCCCAACCCTCACACACTCTGTTTCACCAATATATAATAATAGATGGAGTTTTTTTTTTCCTGTTAAAAGCGTGCAGCTCGCTCTACGTCCTCAGTTTTAAGCAGAAAGAAAGGTTTGACCCATTTATTTTGCAGATTCTTTCCTATTTTTGCAAAAATAAAATATTCCTGAAATTACAGAAGTAGACTGTTACTTTATCTTTTATAAAATAGAATAACAGGAAAATGAAAAATTAAATTTGTATTTCTTTCTGATTCATTTTCCATTTTTTTTGTGACGTCTTGGCGTGTCATTTTTAGTTAATCTGTAACAGTTAAATGAACATTCCGTATAATTTTCTGTAAATAGTTGGAACAGAAAGACAAATAACAGCAGACAGATTTACACTACACAGAATATGGACTGTTGAGGCTTTTTTATCAGATTGTTATTATTGTTATTGAAGCTAAAGCTGATCCAGGCTACATATGAAGAGTGTTGTATTGTGACTGTAATGTTGTAATGTTTGTATGTTTACTGTAGCTTCATCGTTGACTGACTCAAAAGGTATGTCACTTTGAATAATAGCAACTGCTAAATGTTTTGTAACGTAATGTAAAAGACACCTTCACTGACCTGCAGCTGCTCAGCTGGTGTTTTCACTTTACATCTGTAAAAGATGAGACATGTATATTTTATGGATAACATAAATAGATAAATATATGAAACAACAAACCCCACCCCCACTTTCCCAGCTGGGCCACACTTGTGGGTCTCAGCAGACAAAATATTAATCAGCAGCGGTTGTTTGAAAATTCAGAAAGACTCGGCTCCACTCTGTGTGCTCCACGTAGAGATGGAGACGCAGGCTGTGAGCACCAGGCTGTCAGATGAAGTCCTGCAGGCTGTTTACTGAAGTCATGTCCTGCAGCAGGTTGTAGCTGTACTGTAGGTTCACAGCCAGCCTGGCCCCACAGGCTGAGTTGATCTAAACTGTCTGATCAGTGGAGATCAGAAACATTAGCTGATTCACACAATGGTTTTTTTTTTTTCCACTGTCAAAACTACAGACTAAGACAAGTATAAGTCTACCGAGGCCAGTCTATGGATGTTGTCCAAAGAAATTGTACAATTGTTTTGTTTTGGTGCTGCAGATAGAAAATAGTTAAATGGGCAGATTGATGGAGCCAGTACTAAGTCAGCAATAAATTAGAATAGAATTTTATCAATGACCACTGGTAACACTCATGATGAGTCTTTTGTTTTATATTGAAATATGTTGCTTTTTTTTTTTAATATTTCCATTTATTCTCACGTACAGTGTCACTAGTAAATACTATACCAATAATTTCCTGAACAAATCCAAAAATAAAAATGACTAATCCTGAACAAATCCAAAAATAAAAATGATTAATCGTCTCTATGAATGTCGATGATTGTCCGTGTCACTAGTAAATACTATACCAATAATTTTCTCGATGATCGTCTCGATGATCGTCTCTGATCGTCTTGATGATCGCCTTTATGATCATCTCTGATCGTCTATCTGATTAAAGCAGCAGAATTTAAAGTTTGAAAAATAACTGAATTTTTTACTGAAGGTTAAAATTAAATTTGTGTTGCACTCATCTCGATACTATAATTTGTTTACAGTAAATTTGAATCGCTTAGACACCAAAAGGGTGCTCTATCCATTTGTATAAAAGAAACGTTCTTTGTAGGACAAATATGTTCCTGTGTATATGTTTGTGTTGGTGTAAGTGTCGTTGAGAGAGGAATGCTGATGGGTCATGAAGCAGTACCAGGTGATGCTGTTGGATGAATAGTGAAATAAGATGCTCTTTTTGGTTCTTACAATTGTAAATCTGACGCCAGAGCAGTCAGTGCCTCACCAGCCATGGACCTCACTTGTCACACATATATATATATATACTGTATATATATATATATATATATTAATCTGTAATTACTTACCTCCTTGATAAGGCATCACCACAAATCCAAGACGGCAGAGCAAGCTGTTGCAGAGTAATGCTGACACCTGGTGGAAGCCTTGAGAACGACAAGAGAGAATCAGGAAATGAGATTAAATAGTCGTTTAGTAGTTAAAATCCAAGGAGTCCGAGAGTTTTAGTATTTTTCTCCTCATTTTCGTTTCAGTGAACATCTCGCAGCTTTTGTTTTTTTTTTTAGTTTCAATTTTGTTAATTTAAATCGTATGATTAATATACACTTGTTTTCTACTTGTTGTTTTTAACGTAATGAGTCAGAAGATGACGTCAGAGTCTGTAGAATCACAGACCTGCTATAATCAAATGGGCTGGTACCATTTACCTTAGATAACCGAGCACAAAAAGTTCACTTTACACCAGTGGAAAATCAGATTGAACGTGATATTTACAACTGTGAACCAGTCAGTGCACAGAGGGTGCGAGGTGTCACTTGGAACTTCCAATAAGCTGTGCATTAGCACCAGCTCTGACCCTGTCACTGTGAGATAGCTGCAACATTATGGCTCATTTTGCTGAGAGTGAAGCAGTCCCTGAACAGGAACACTGTCATGGAGGACTTTAGATTTACAGTGGCAGAGCCTTCAGGGATTTCTTCTGTGCACAGAAGAGAAGTCTCAGTGCATTCAGTGCTATTCCTGTGAGTCACACAACTGTGGTTCACAGACGTTTATCCTGCATCTAATAATGAGGCTCAGGAAGATAGATAAAGACTGTGCGATACAATACAAACTGGGTCGTATGACGCGTGCCCGTTTCTGTTCATCAGCATATCACCATATATATCATATATCTTTGTAGAACAAATATGTTCCAGTGTTTTTTAACTGTTACAGTTTGTGTTGCTGTCAGTGTCATTGAAAGAGGAATGCTGATTACCAGGTGCATGCTGTGAAATAGGATGCTCTTTTTGGTTCTCAAAATTGTAAATCTGTCTGTCTATGTGTGTGTGTCTGTGTCTTTGTGCGTCCGTGTGTGTGTCTGCGTGTGTTGGGAACATAGGCCTGCTAGACTCTGGTACGCCAACCTTTGATCACAGTAAATTACTGTACCAATAAATTCCTGAACAAATCTCCGAAAATAAAAGTTTCTCAAAAATGATTAAAAATACACTAATTTGCATTGGAATACTTATCTATGTCCATTTTTGTTGTTAAAATTGAGAAAAATATATACTTTTTGAAAAAAGTCAATAATACTTGGCAAAACCTGGTTTCATTTAAATCAAAGATTTAATTTCCCTTCCCTGCTCATTTCATTTACTCGCCCCCTGGTGACGAAAAATCAGAACGCACTTCGTTTAAACACTGGCTTTGTAGTAAAAAAACAGTTTTTTATTAAAGTTACTAAAACGTTGATGCATGTGAAAACGTTGCATGAATTTATATCGTTGTTTTATTATTTAAATTCGCTTTTCTTCTGTCAAAATTATCTATTTTCTTCATGTTCCACAAGGAATGTTTGGCGGAGGGACACATTCTTGTCTGGTGATGCGGTCGGCTGTTCGGTTGAGCTCCGCCAACAACAAGGTTGGGGAATTTAATTTTTTTTTCTTTTTCTTTCTCTTTTCTCCATCCAATGTACCTGCGGCTGAAACATGATGCTACATTCTGGTGAGGTCGAGGCTAAAGAGTAGCTAATCCAGGCCTGCCTCCTTCCTACTTAAGGTTTGTGCTAAAATCTGAACTGTTAAGGTCACTTTGTTGTGTAGATTATTTATTTGACTCTTATGTTTAGGTCTTGGCCACCAAGGACCCAGACCCACCAGAGCTGACGGGAGACTCCATCTTGATCCCTGTCATGGTTGTTTTTTTTTTCCATATTCCTTTTGAAGAGCAGCATTGAAAGATAAGTTTGTTCTTCTCTGCTACATTAAATTGTTCCATTATGTTACTTACAATCAGTTATTTATGAGTTTGTTTTTCTGGTATGTTTTTCATGTTTCATTATACCACCCCCTTTAGGGTTGACTGTTAACAAATCACCATCAGATTTCATGGATTTTCTAAAATTTTACGTTTGGTCTCTAAGGACTAAACTACTTTATTAATCCGATAGATTTTACTTTACAAACGCTCAGAATTGAGTTGGCTGGATTTCTTTTCACACTTCACTTCACCACCACAAACACTTACCCTTCCTAACACAAACCACTCTTTACCCCTTTTCTTGGTGTTTAAAGAAATCCAGGCAATATTTCTTAGACAGTGATATGCTATAGAC